TGCACATCCCCGCAGGACTACGGTCGGTCTTGATGATGATGATGGTGATTTTGATGATGATGATGGTGATTTTGATGATGATGATGATGTTTGTTGTTGATGATGATGATAATGATGTTGATGATGATGATTGGAGGCTGATGATGATGCTGATGATTGTGGGCTGATAATGATGATTGTGGGCTGATGATGATGATGATAGTGGACTAAGGATGATGATGATGATGATGATGATTGTGAGTTGATGATGATGATTGTGAGTTGATGATGATGATGATTGTTGGTTGATGATGATGATGATGATGCAGGTTGACAATGGCATCACCCACCCTCACGAGTTTGACTTCTACCTCTGCAGCCATGCCGGTATCCAGGTGGTTCTTTCGTTCATTCGTCTATACATTAAATCTTTAGTTCATTCTTTCGTTCGTTTATTTATTCGTTTATTGATTTGTTCGTTCATTCATTCATTCATTCAATCATTCATTCATTCGTTCCTTCGTTCGCATGCCCATTCCTTTGGCAATCAATCAACAAACCAACTCATCAATCAACTAACCAATCAATAAATCAGCCAATCAACCAACCAACCAATCAACACACACTAACCAATCAACCAACCGACCAATCAACACACACCAATCAACCAACCAATCAATCAACACACACCAACCGACCAACCAATCAACACACACCAACCAACCGACCAACCAATCAGGGCACTAGCAGACCGTCGCATTATCACGTCTTGTGGGACGACAATCATTTCTCGGCAGACGAGTTGCAGATGCTGACCTATCAGCTGTGCCATACATACGTCAGGTTGGTTGGCTGGCAGGCTGGCTGATTGGTTGTTTGTTTGGTTTGTTGGCTGATTGGCTGGCTGGTTGGTTGTTTGGTTTGTGTGTTGATTGGTTGGTTTGTTGGTTGCTTTGCAGATTGGTTGGTTGGTTGGTTTGTTGGTTGGTCGGTTGGTTTGTTGGTTGGTTGGCTGGTTTGTTGGTTGGCTGGCTGATTGGTTGCTTTGCTGATTGGCTGGTTGGTTGGCTGGTTGGCTGCATATTGGCTGTTATGGACTTACGACTTTGCCATAAAGTCAGGTAAATTAATTTGAATGATTGATTAAATGACTGATTAATTAACTAAGGGATTGATTGATTGATTGGCTGATTGATTGGTTGATTGATTATTGGTTGATTGATTATTGTTTGATTGATTGTTTGATTGATTGATTGATTGATTGTCAGGTGCACAAGAAGTGTATCGATTCCGGCTCCAGCATATTACGCCCATCTTGTTGCATTCAGAGCTAGGTATCATCTGGTCGACAAGGAACATGATAGGTTGGCTGCGACTGTGGATTCATCCATGCACCAATCATTCATCCATTCACCAATCATTCATCCATTCACCAATCATTCATCCATTCACCAATCATTCATCCATTCACCAATCATTCATCCATTCACCAATCATTCATCCATTCACCAATCATTCATCCATTCACCAATCATTCATCC